TCTACTACGCTGCTCATGTTTGCGCCAATTCAAAATAGCGCCCTTCCCATGGGTCCCCCCCCCCTTTTTTGACTATGCCTATTGTTTTATGCCGCCCAATGTACGGGCATTATGTTGCTCCGACACACAAATGTTTCTGATGTTTATCTGAACTCTTTGTATCTCACAAACCTAATAAAACATATTGAAGAGAAAATAGCGCCCTTTTTTGGCGGTCACGTGACCGCCATTGAAACAACACCGCCACCTAGTGTTATGTTATACAATTGCAAGTGGCTATAATAAAACAGCACAGTACTGTGCAGAGTCTCTGGCAGCTAGACCGGGGCAGAGGTGGAGGATCGCGGCTTGGGAAGGGGTTCTGAGCAATCAAAAATCTGTGGACACACAGAGGGACACTTGGAGGTATGGTGGTGCCCACATGGAGATGCACTGGTGGCACAGGGATACATATATAGATATACACAGGCACAGAGAGCCATGCTGGAGGCACAGGGAGTACACTTGGAGATATGGAGGAGCATAGAGGTACACTTGGACATACACAGAAGCACAGAGGTACACATGGACATACACAGAGGGACACTTGGAAATACAGAGAAGAACAGGGGTACACTTGGAGATATGAAGGAGCACAGGGGTACACTTGGAGATATGGAGGAGCACAGGTCTACCCTTGGAGATCTGGAGGAGAACAGGGGTACACCTGGAGATACAGAGGAGAACGGGGTGCACTTGGAGATACAGAAGAGCAAAGAGGTACACTTGTAGATATGGTACAGATAGGTTCATTTGGAGATATGGAAGCACACTGAGCCACGCTAGGGGCATAGGGTTACCATTGGAGCATTAATTTCAAAGCTTTAAATATAGTGTATTATGTCACTTATGTCATTTTTGTGAGAGGCCTGGAACCTAACTCCCTCACTTCCCATTGACATACATTTTATACTGGGTTTCAATTTACATCGGTTTCTATTTGCAACCATTCCTTCTGGAACCTAACCCTGGCGTAAATCGAGGGTTTAACTGTATTTTATTTTAATGTAAACATGTGCTCTGTTCATGCCTGGCAAATCCTGGGCATAGAAGAATAATATTCTTGGGAATTCTAAGGAATTACATGGCTAGCTGGTAGATATATAATTCCTTTACTATATTCTGGGTATGCCCTGGCGCCCCCTCCAAGGTAAGTATGCTTAGGTGAGTCCCAATGGGAGCCTTACAGTATATGGGTCATCTATTTAAAATGCTGTCGCTAATCCAAATAGATTAGCGGTGTAGTATTAGCTCTACTCTGGGGTATTAAATTGCCAAATATTTTTCAATCTTACTATGACTAACTATACATGACAACCCTACCAAGAAACTTCATTTCATGCCTTTTTTATGTAAAAACATCTGTTCACTACAAGGTCTCATTCACATGGACGTGCACAGCTGTACAGTGTGCATGACCATCCAAAAACCTGCTCCTGAGAGGGACAGGTGCTGTGTATGACCCTGTGCATCCACCTGTACAACTTAATTACACTACATGGCTACATGCTAACCAAAACTTGCACATGCATACATGTATGGAGGCACACCTTTGGATGCAGACAATCTGTGTCCAAGGGTGTGCATCTTTACCTGTACGGATGTGCAAGGGCGCAGGTTTCTGTGCATGTCTGTGTGAATGAGACCTAAAGGGGAATGGAAGTTCACAGAGAGCCGCTGACAAAAGTCTGCACATGAGTGAATGTAACAATCCTCATGCTTAGTGTCTTTATTAATACTAGTGATGCATTGTTTAAAGAACACTTTCTAATTATAGTTATTCTGTATACTGGTATATCCTTGAAGCTGCCCTCAGTGTCATTCAATGGGAATTCAGCTGTGTGCAACAGCTGTCCCCTGTTCTATTATGCCCCTACAGTGTGTGCCGCAAAGAAGCTCATGTGGCTCATGTGTTTCAGCTGCAAGCTTTGTACATTTTTTGACTGCATGCCCTGCTTGCTGCATTGGAAATGCCACTGCAAACAGGGCTTACATTGTTCTTGAATGAGTGCAAAATCACGTGATTTTGGGCACAGTCACATACATAATAAATATGAATAGGGCCTGAAGGTCCTTGTTCAGGTACTTCCTATTATACAGTAGCGTGACAAGGTTCTGTCCTCATCTCCTGATTGTGCTACTGTTGTTATTACTATTTCAAGACACATTACACAGTTAACATCAGGAAGCCCGTTCGGAGAAATCCCATGCAGCCATTGCTGATGTACCTGTACATGAATGTAGGCAAGAAGTGGCTGCTAAGAGTACAGTTGATCAGCAGAACTGTAAGCTAAATGTCATACGTTAAGCTGGCCGTACACCTATAGATTTTCTGCAGATTTTCTATGGTCAGATGGAAAAAGTGCAACAGATTCCTCCATGTAGGAATGGGCCAAACTTCAGTATCTTGCTAGCTGGCCCCGCTGGCTGTCAAAACACCTGAACAATGCCTGCATCCAATCAGATTGTTCAGGTATTTTGACAGCCAGCAGGGCCGACTAGCAAGATACTGAAGCTTGGCCCAGCAGGAGATTCCTCCATCAACACAGTTCAGCGTAGATGGAGGAATCTGTTGCACTTTTTCCATCTGACCATAGAAAATCTGCAGATAATCTATAGGTGTATGGCCAGCTTTAGGGTTTCCATGTAATTTGAGTTGACCTTTGTCCCAGTTAATTTAGCGATCTGCAGGATATAATCCTCCACTTGGATACATACTGTATATTCATGTGAACTGCCTAAACTAGTCTCTTTCGAGTTTTGAGTTATTTTGATCTGTTTTTCTTCTGCCTTCAGGTTAATTTCTTGTACTTGACAATGCTGGCACCTTGACCAAGCTGATTTGCTGCCAAAGGTAACCAGGCATGACGTTAAAAATTAAACTTCTAAAGTTTGTTTAATAAAACATTGCAACAGACGACGTGTCTGGCAGCAAAGTGTTTATAATGCCGTACTTGTATACAAGGTTAACTTTGCCAATGTCTCATGCTTCACAACCAAAACCAACTCATGAAGTATATATGCAGAATACCACCAGCACCCCCCCAGGGGGGCCCTCTTCTTCCTCTCTGGGCCCCCCTAACAGGCAGAACGCCAGTGCCCGGTCGCAATTGTGACCGCTGCGACCCTGGTAGCTCTGCCAGTGCACTTCAGTATACAGACTTCTTTATCAGGGGAGAGAGGCAGGGTAAGTGAGCTTTAAGGGGTCATTCACACGGGTGTGCACGTCCATACGGCCTACATGCCCATAAAAACACCCGATTTTGGAAGGGACAGGGAGCTTTGTGTAATTGCATGCAGCATCCCATTCTTCCCTATAGGGGGTGCAGTTACACGCAATTACCTGCGGTCACACGCACATCCAAAACTGCATGGCAGTGCGGGTCTGTGTGCCCGCACTTGGATGTACACTGTCTCCAATTACACAAAGCACTTGTCCTTTCTGGAATCTGGTCTTTTTACGGGTGTGCACGCCATACGGAGATGTACGCCCATCTGAATGAGCCCTAAACATTGGACATGTTATGTAACCATTGTTGTTCCCTCATCTGTGAGTATAGCTGACCATACACTGTACAATTTTTTTATCATTCAGAACGAAGAAGAAATCACGTATTCTTCCATCAAAGTTAAGCCGCGTGTATGGATGAATCCCCCGCTGTTTCCATTGGCTGCTGATAGAATAACCAAATGCTGATTGGCTGCAAGCACCGTTCGGCCGAAGATTTTCCAATCGGTTCCTTCAATCTTCTGATCAAGGGATGCCCGGGCAGAAGAGTGCCGGCAGGGGCACCCACTGAGCAAATTTTGTCCGGTTCCTCAAGAACCAGCTGACATTCCCATTGTGTATGGCCACCAGCTTTCACCAGCTTTCGTCCTTTGACCCCCCAGAGCCCAGGGGAGAAGAGACTGTGTGGAACAGTCTAACAGCCCTTCGGGGCCGAGGATTAGGTGAGTATATCTGCTTTATTTGAGCCCCGAGATCAAAACGCTTAAAGTACTACCTAAAGTAGTATCATCTTGTCTTCAATTGTATTGTAACTGTATTGTCTTCCTTATATTGTAAAGTGCTGAGCAAACTGTTGGCGCTATATAAATCCTGAATAATAATAATATTATTAAACTCACAAACTTTTTTCAGTAATGAATCCAGATCAAACAAATGTCAAATCCAAACTTACTAAGAGCCATACTGACAGTCATGAATAAAATCAGGGGCTGGACATAAAGAAGGAAAAAAAATTAACCCTGCTGCTTGGCGCAGTACAAATCTGTGGCGCACAGGCTAGAAAAAAAACCCAAAAAATCTTGCCTGCCGTGGTACAAAACTTGGGACTGGTGGGCCTAATAAAATCTTGTGGCGGGCCGTTTCTGGCCCATGGGCCTTGTAATTGATATATGTGATCCACGAGCTTGATGAAGGAAGGACAAAGGAGAAGAGAGCAGGGGATTAGCTTGCCTTGATGTGCCTATATGTTTTTAGAGACACACAGCTTACTAGCACACACAAGGGTGGCTCCAAATGACCCTGCAACCCTAAAACAAAATATCAGGGCCAGTGCTCAGGAGGCCGGCTAATTCTGCAGGAAACGAAAACTTTTATCTATAAGGGAACAGTATCAATTGTAAGTGATATGAAATAGCATAAAAACATTTTGACTTTATTATCACTATAACCCTAGCAGTGCCGGGGGAGGAAGGGTTAGTTTTTTTAATTCCTGGAGTTCTTCTTTAATCAAATTGTGACTTGCGTATGCTGCTCTGTGATGTCCTGGATACATGAGACCTCCCCATCAACTACTATGAGGAATTGTGCTGCAATACGCAGCTGCTAGTAGTTTGTTGGCAGTTGAATGCTGCAGAATTAGAGTAATAGAAGTGAGTATCATTTACATGCTACAGTAAGCTGATCACTCTTCCCGGGGTATGTTTTATCCTTAAATCCACATGCATTTAAAGGCAGTGTTTATTTCCACCGACCTGGGCTCGTTGCTAGAGACCACGATTCCCATCCACTGAAGTATAACAATAGCGTCCTTTATCTGTTACCATGACATTGTACATTTCAGTGTCATGTTACCGGCTGCATGTCACCGGCTCTGAGGCACAAACCAACACTTGATCCATGAAGCTTGAACTGAGAACTTTGCAGTTGGAGAAAACTTGGCTACAAAGTTCTTATTTTGCTGCTTTTTATTTAACGGTGAAAACCGGAACAGTCAGGTGCTAGCGAGCTTCTGACAAACTGCAGCGACCAAGTGCAAGACACTATATTTAGGAAGAACAGCCCTGTGCTATGAAAGGAATTCCTTTTGCACTTAAGCTACCAAATTGGGTTTATCTGCCAGCCCTGAGGCAGCATTGAGTACAACACAGAGACAAAGCTATTTAGAACATATGTATCAGCAGCACTGAAAGTATCCCTGGCAAGATAAGCAGGGGACGAAGACAAAGAAAGGGTCCTGTCACTGGAACCTGGCCATAATTGCTCTGTGCTGTCATCTCTTGGGGAAAAACTTGTCTAAGGTAAGCAAGGACTCTTCTTTCGTTAGCAGGAAACGTCTACATATAATTATATATATATATATATATATAAATATATATATATATATTTATATTTATTTAATGTATTCTCTGAACACATAGCAATGTTAATGTTAACTCTTTTTATGCTGTACAACTAAAGAATATAAAATTGTAGTAACATTAAATCCTGAAATGCAAAACTTTTGACAATATTGCATTGCAGGATTGCAGAACGCATCATATGACCACTGTAGAGCTCGACATACGCTATTAACCATAACTAACTATTAAACAGTTTACTATAAAGAATGCATACAGTATAATATAGTACAGTTGCTTCATGCAGCTTTGCTGTAACTAGGTACCATATCTGTTTGCATGAACCATGTCTGCTAAAACATGATATTTCCCATTTGTACTGTTAGATAATTTAATGCGTTGTGAGCATGTTCACTAAAAGTTTATGACAGTTGTAATAATACCCTGTGATCATGATTATGCATGAAGTATGTTTGAGGTGTTTGTGGTGCAGCATTATGTCATATAGCTCAGGTTAACACATTCCAGTCTTGTATGTGTACGAGCGAAAAGGTTAGTAATACAATAAAGAGATCTGTTAAGAATGCCTTTCCTGCAAAAAAAAATCTTTGTAGAATAAAGGATTTCAGGCACTGAGCAGGATAACTAGGTCAGTTCTTACTTAGTTTGCATGTTCAGAAGTAGTTCAGCTTCCGAAAAATAAAATTATGTTAACTGTTTCCTGCATACTTGAAATTAAATGTAACAGGATTTAGTTCAATGTTTAAAGCTTTTTATCGAGACAAAATAAAAAATAAAAACATATGCAGTACATCTCTGCAACACATGCAGGTTTTATCCCTTTAAAGATCCTGCAAGTACAGAAAGATACTTGTTGATCTGCCAGAAATACACTCAGCTCCTGTTGTGTGCTTTTTTTGTGGACTGAGTGGTGTCAGCTCTGCCCAGTGTCTTTTGCTAAGTCACTCAACCACTCCCACTCCCACTCTTAGAACTCTACAGCATAAAGGCTAAAGCCCCTTTCACACAAGCAGTCCAATCGGGTCTGCCTGTCAGTTTTTCAGACAGACCCGATCAGATGCCCAATGCAAGTCAATACACGAGCATCCATTTGAACCCGGTTACCCCGGGATCTGGCTGGGTTCGAAAAAACAGACGGAACAGTGTTCCATTTCAATGGATCGGATTATGCCAGATCGGGGGTAATCTCATGTAAACGGACACATGTCCGTTTATATCAGATTCCCCATCGACCAACATGGAGTCCAGCAGTTTCAGTTACTTAAACTGTACGGACACGGATGTCACTGCGGTGACATCTGCTCCGTGCTGCTGTGATCAGGAGGGGATCTGTGCATAGATCCCCTCCTGAGCAGCCACT